GAGAGGTGATGGAAGATGAAGATGGGGGTATTTAAGGAATTTTAAAATTTTTAATATATAAATTAATTAAAATGACGTGGACTAAGTTATTTTCCACGTAATTAAAGATTTCAAACAAAAATTGATTTCGTGGCAACTTAATGTGCCATCTGGCACTTCCATCGACGGAAGGACGAAATTGGTCCCGAAAATTGAAGTTCAAGGATTTTTTTAGTACTTTTTGAAGTTCGAGGGTAGTTTTAGTTCAACAATGAAAGTTGAGGGACTGAATCGGGATGTAACCAATTACAAAATCAAAATACCCAACCCAGCTCTCCGTTACCGTTACTGGCATATGTATGCCTGGGAAGTAAAAACTCGCAGAACGTCTCAAATTACCTTTTTTTTTATTATTATTATTATGTTCGGTAGTATACAATTTAAGTATGTGAAGTGGAAACTCGAAACACCATCTTGCCCCTTTCTTTTTAAAAGAAGAAAAAATTTGCTCCTATAAGAATTGGATGTAAAATGAAATCAAAGATATTGATATTGCTAACGACCTAAATAGTTTGACGTTCATCTTCTTCTGTTAAAAATAAAAGAGTTTAAATTCACGTCGTATAACATGCGGGTAGAATGAAATAAGAAATAAACTAAGTAAACAACATTTTTCACTCTCTCCCTCAATCAAGAGATCTTCTAGAATATTTAATTTTTCCCCACCTTAATAATAATAAAAAATAAATTTTCTAATTAAGTACAAATTAAGATTGCATTAATTATATATTTTTATAATTAATTTGCATAAAAAAATAAAGATTGATTTTAAGTTTATTTATTATCTGAGTGGTGTAGGTATTAAAATTAATATTTACTCTTATACTTATCTATAGAATTTTATAATCAAAAGTATAATTAATATAGTTTAAAAAATTCCATAAGAAAATCAAAGCACTCTTTGATGGAAGTGGGAATCGGCAAAACTTTTAATGGATTCTGTGCCCCAAATTCTTGACAAAGAAAGCCAACTTTTTTCCAGCCATTTGGCTAGAAGTGCGCTCTAAATTAAGATTTTCTTTATATATTTTGATTGTTATTTCAATTACTATATTAATTATTAAAGAAATTAACGTTTATCAATTGTACCAAAATATCTTAAAATTATATTATTTTAATAAATTATTATAAAAAATTAAAACAATGTGATTTTATTTTTAAAAAATTATTTTAATTTGCGTCAATAAAAATTTACTTAAACAATTAATTTTTAAAGATTTAATAAATAAACTCTTTTTATTATTATTAAAACTCCAACTTTTGATTAGTGAAAAATATAAAATGAAGAAAACATTGAATGTAAACCCAAAAAGGCTTAACTATCGCCTCAATCACACTTTAATCAGATTATTCATTGACAAAATTATTGTTCCCTCCCCACTGCCACAGTTCCCCAGTTGATACTTTCCCTAGCTACACATGTTCTATTCTATGCACCACCTCACATAAACTTTATCAAAGATATGATAAAGTAAAGCAGCTCGTATCAAAAGTTAGATTTGAATCCTTAAAGCATATTTCAATTAATTCCCTAAGGTGCTTCAGGTTTCACATTGCGTGCCTTGTTACTTTTCCAATTTAATTTAGGGTTGTTCTAACCTAATGCAATAAATATATTTTTAGTAACTGATTTATATAAAAAATAAAAATTAATTTTTATTTTCACATCATTACTATGTAGATGATTTCAATTAACTATTTAATTAAATCAAACATTCATATTTTTTATATAAATTAACTATAAAAAATTTTTTATTAAAAAATACATTTCTTACCTCTTAATTTGGGCTTAAAAAACCATTTAATTTATGAGTTTGTCCAATCTCTACCTGTCCACCTAAGAGCATTTATTGTCCTAAATTAACATTAATTTATATTTCTCATATAAATTAATGATAAAAGAGTATTTATTATACTATTGATCTATGCATATTTTATAAAACTATTAATTTTTATAGGTTTGTTTAAAGATACATGTTACGACTTATTAATTAAAATATTTTTAATTGATTTTACAAAAATTTTTATATTTAATTCATAATTTTTTTTATAAATTTTAAGTATAAATATTTTATTTTATTTTTACATATTATATTATATTATATTATATTTGAATTTTACATAAAATTTTGTACATAATTAATTTCAAATATTATAATTAATGATACTTAACCTAACCTTAGGGCACAATTTAAAAAATCCCAATTTTTATTAAAATCTGTTCATTTATTTGTTAGTATTAATTAATGACTTCCTCAGTTAATACCATCCCACACTTACCAATTTAATGACTTTTCTTGGTTAATCCCTAACTTGGACCCTCAACTATTGTATAGATTTTTGAGTTAATTTTTAAATTAAAAAATTCTTAATTTGGTCCTAGAGTATCCCAATTTAACTCCAAGTTGGACTCTCTATGGAAAAATAATTGATGTTTCTTATTATTAATGTAATATATGACTATCAAGTAATGGCAAAATAATAGACATATCAATTATTTTTTAACAAAAAGACCAACTTAGAGTCAAATTAAGAAATTTTAGGGATCAAATCAATAATTTTTTTAATTTATGAATTAATTCAAAGATCTGTATAATAATTATCAGACCAAATTAAAGATTTAATTTTTTTTTCAATTAACAGGATGAAATTGTTTTGACCTTATACAAAAATAAATAAATACTCCTATTGCTTTGACTTGTAAAGAAACATGTGCCGTCCATGCTCCATTTTGAAGTCGTGCAGTAACTAATGCATAGATTATCGATCATTAGTCATCAAATTAAAAGTCGTCAAGCATGCAATTATTATATACTGCTGTATGTGAGAAGAACCAACAAATTGATGTTCAAGAAGAAGGATTTTTGGTTTTGTTTTTTTAAATAAAATTTTAAATTTAAATTTATATAAAAAAATATATAAAAAAATATTTTTTCTCATAAGGTTCCATATGATTAAATTTAAAATTAATTAAATTTTAATATAATTTCTAAATATAAATGAGTTTAATACTTAAAAAATAAAAACTAAAAATTCCAAAGGTGGCCTTGATAATTGATATAATGGCCCACGGCCTGGCAAGTAATCATTATCGAACTTGTGGATCCAAACAACTCCAACTCTCTCTCTCTTCCATTATTGAACTTTCATATAATTGAATTTTGACAAAACATATCGGCTCCTGGAGAACCACGAAGAAGACCTGCGATTAATTTTTTATTCTGGTGACTACTAGTACATAACAAAAATATATATTACAAGATTAGGATCCGTTACTGTCTTAAATAGTGTTTTTATTTGTTTAGGAAGGAGGGAGGAGGATTCCTTGCCTGTAGAGGTTCTTGATCCTACCTATGACAGAATGTTTAAATCCATCCTAAATTTAAATAGTAGGAATAGATTTATTTTTAAATAAAAAAATAAAATTAAATTTATTTATAAAATTTTTTATTTAGATAAATCACTTTAAATTTACATTTGATATCATTTAACGTTTACAATTTATTAATTTGTATGTTGTTAACAAATTATTGATATCAAATGATATTACACATTAAATTTAAAATAATTTATTTAAAATAAAAAATTTATGAATGAATTTATCTTTATTTTTTATTTAAAAATAAATCTGTTCCTATTGCCTAACTTTACAGGTTAATTTGGGATTATAGCCCTACCAACAGTGTTGGTAACGCACCTCCTTGCTCATATCCAAAACCAGTTCCTTACTTTTGTTACAGAAAAGTAATGCTATCAATCTCGATCGAGTTTGTATGCATGAGTGGTATATTTAATTATAAAAATTTATATATATATATAAATTAATTTAAGGCTTGACACTCAATAACACTGTAATAGTTGGCCGGATGAGGAGAAAAAATGGAAAAAGAAAAAAAACTCTATAATGGTTAAACAAATTAATCTTTTAAAAAGTGCTTTATAATTTAAATCGTATCAAATTATAATATATTAAACTCAATTAATTAATATATCATACCACTTGATAATCTTGAATTTGCTACCATGGGTAAAAGAGGAATTCTCGTTGGGCAGGCTTGACTTAGTTGTTAGAAACCTAAAAACCTATGTACT